CTACTACGACTACGCCTACGACTGCGACTGCGACTGCGACTGCGACTGCGACTGCGACTACGACGACGACAACGAATCATCCTAGGGAAGCTGGACTGGCAGAAAGTCTTGATACTGTGAGTGCTTTTATCGTGCAGTGCGTCTTCCTGTAATCGCAAAATGCCGTTTTGCACATGAGCTGCCTGGTCAGCCTCTATCAAGAGCGCCCGACAAAAGCGAAATTCTGAGCTCAGGACGCCAACGCAATCAATGCCAAAAAAATTGAACTCGAATCGAGTCCCTGGCTCCTTCTGGGTATGATCTGGTGGGACCGGGCCCTCCTCGGACCTGGGCCCAGAGCGTCTTTGCGGTCTGTGGCAGAGTCTTGTATTCAACTTATAACTTGGCTTTGAATTCTGCATTGTAGCTGTTACATCTATTTATACATATATATATATGTAGAGAGAGAGAGAGAGAGAGAGAGAGAGAGAGAGAGAGACTTGACGATGGACTCAAGGTGCCAGCACTTGCGGCAACGGCGAAGCAGGCAACCTGGGTGACCGTGTCCTCGCGAAGCTCATGCCGGGTCTGCTCCCAACGATGATGCCCCCCTTTCGTACGAGATTTATCATAACTTAAGACGTTCAACTGGGCCTAATTTGGAACAACACATGTCCATTCAAGAGCTCGGCACACCACAAGCAGGCAGAGGTTAGGTATCCGAAAATTGCAACGTATGCAGCCCCTGCTTTGGGCCTGGGCTACTAGCTAAAATACTAGCAGAGCTGGAGTGAGAACGACACGGAAGAGCACGAATCATGGTAGCACCAGAAACATGCAAGAGTTGTTGCCGTCTGAGCCTGGACGAGGGGCTGCACGTAGCCAACCAGCCTCCGACCAGATACAATGCAAAGTTCAGGGCTCGTGCAGTCCTTGAGGCCTTCCGGTCCAAGGTAATTCGGGTTAGGGTTTGGAGAGGAGGTCACTGATCTACCACAGCAGCCACGACACTTGACCTGCGACCCTTCCCGAGCGCCACAAGGCCGGGGAAGCCGAAATCACCGGCTAAGACACGGGCCCGACAGGATTCTTCTTCTCGAAGAGGCCCTCGCAGCGCAGCGGCCTGGGCGACGAGAGGAGTGTAACCAAAAACAAGCCGGGCCAGGCTGAAGAAGGCACAACAGGCACGTTCAACAAGGAGGCAGGATGTCAATCTATGCAGTACTCTTGGTACAGTGCAATCACTGTACCAAGAAATGGTTGGACAAGAAATGTAGGGGCCACGTCAGCTGGGTAGCACCGACAAGCCGAAAATCTAGAATCTAAAATGCCTTCTGGCCGGGAGATGACGGGTACCCCACGTTTTGGGGTATTTTTTTACTTGGCTGGGTGGTTCGTTTCTTGATTCGGGTGTACTCAAGAACAGCGCACGGGGAAGGAGCCAAAATAGGAAATGCAGGGGGTCTAGGTTTCTTATTTTGGTTGGTTTCCTGGGTCTTAAGCCTAGGGTACGGGGCAGGAGCCAAAATAAGAAATGCAAGGGGCCTGCGTTTCTTATTTTGGCTGGTTTCCGGGTCTTAAGCCTAGGACACGAGCACGAGCCAAAATGCGAAATGTAGGGAGCTACTTGTTGGTTTCCGGGTCTTAAGCCCAGGGCAGGAGCCACCTTCAGAAATGCAGGGGGTCTGCCTTTCTTATTTCGGTTGGTTTCCGCGTCTTAAGCCTAGGGCCTAGGGCACAGGGCAGGAGCAAAAATCAAATATGCAGGGGGTCTACCCCTCTCATTTTGGTTGGTTTCCATGGGCTGAGCGGCAACGAAGCTCTGCAGTTATGGAGCGTGACTTGCCGCATGCCCCTGAAGCCGAGTGTGAGGGGTAAGTGATGGCAGTTACATCTAGAATCTAGACACCCAGCTGTAGTAGAATTCCTTCTTGGCGGTGTCTGTCTAGGTTGATGGCAAAGGCATTGACTCAGTAGCTAGACTTCCGTGGGCGCGAGCCCCGGCTAAGAAATGAGCAAGAAATGAAGGGTGCCCAACGATCCAGAAGCTGGGGCATGCGGAAATGTGAATGTAACAGGAAGCTTAGACATGAAGCGTACCCAACGCCACGAGCCGGCATTTCTTATCCAGCGGATACACTGTAAGTTGAAGCTGTTGTTTTCTTCTTCTTCTTCTCGTAGTTTCTGTGCTGCATCAATCATACAATGTCATACAACGGGGAGCACAGGTGCTGAGGCGAAGGCAAGCCTTTGTTCGTGTACAGAGGGTGCATCCACTCCCATTTCAGAATGTGCCTGAGCTGGACCAGGCTGTGTTAATTTATCTTTTCCGTGGTGGGAACCAGGAGGAAATGTGTCTTCACGTATCTGTCGCAGATTGGTGTCTGGTCAGCGTGACATGGCACGTCAGCTGCAGCATTCAGCAGCCTCCTTTACCATCTGAGGGTTGCACGGGTGCAGAATTGCGACCTAGGTGCCACAGACGTCACTGCGCTGATCCGGTCCTCAATTCACCGAACCCATCCCAAGACCTAGAAACTTTGAGGCAGCAGCTGGCTTGTACGTCCAGCCCGCGGTGATGCGCGCTCGCTGCAGCTCCTGGCGCGGTGCTGCAACCACTGCTCCCGGCCTCCGATAATCTCGCGGCACTGACTTCGCGAATTACTCGAGTACGTCAAAAAGGCAGACCACGGAGCGCGCCGCAAGTAAGGCAACACGACAGAACTCACTGCAGAGCGTTTTCAAACTGCTGTATTCCGCGCCCTGCAGTCATCCTGCATGTGCTTCTCAAACTGGCTCAGCAGGTTGAACTCTGCAGGCAAGCGTGATTGGCTCACCTCGGGCCGAAGGCCGGAGGATCCAGCATGGCACAGAAAGCTCTACAGAAGCTCCCAAACCAAAGGGCGCCCTGCCAGCAGAGGTGCTCCGGCGCGCGAGTGAAGGGGAGCCCACCTCGTCCAGATTCCCAGAGCCTAAACTCCTAAACTCATCAGACTTTCACTCTCACGTTTTTGGCGGCCTGCTCGCCTCCGATTTAAAGCCGTCCATGTGCACGAGGGTAGCCTTTCGAAGTCCGAGGCTCGGTAAGAAAGCTAAAGTTTAGCAAAGCATCCGCATGCGTCCTTATGTAGCAAGACCCAGCAGCCTCAAAGATGGGGCATCCCAGAACTGCAAACTCTGATCAGCAGAATGATGATTGCTGACAGTGGCAACCCGAGTCAAAGACGTAAACAGACTGCCGCCAGAATGCAATAGCACTAATCTCCGACTGCCTGCTGAAACGATCTTTTTCTTCGCTGTTGTCAGCAGCCCCTCAGATAATCACCCCATAAACGCGGCTGTACAACATCTGGCTCTTGTGGCACCGTCGGGGACCGTCCGCTCCATGAATGACCACGAAAGCGGGGGGGGCTCTTCCCCGTTCCGGCTCAGGCTGCATAAAGCGCCTTCGCCTTGGCATACAGGGCTTTGCCCTGGGCACTCTTGCCACCCACTGCACAGAAGCCTTTGATTCCCAGCTCCTTCCGGGCCGTCATCACGGAGTCGAGCCAACGCTGCACGAACTTCTGGATCGTCTTCCCCTTCGCGTGCATCTTCTTGCTGACAACCTTGCCTCGCTTGTTCTTCATCAACTGAGACTTCGCGAGGCCACCCGAGGTCTTCTCTTTGCTGCCACGGAAGACGACGGACTTCGCGCGCTTGCCCATGGCGATCTTTGACACGGCCTTCTTCTTCATGACCTTCATTGCCTTAGCCTTCATGCTAGTCTTGGCCTTCATAGCACTGGACTTCATGACCTTCATCGCGTTCTTCATCGGCAAGGCCATGACTTCGAGGTGAGTGCAGAGCTGAATCACAAGGCGGGCTTGAACCAGACAGTCTCGGGGTCTTCACGTAGTCCGTTGCCCAAGAGGGATCCTGATAGAGAGAGAGAGAGAGAGAGAGAGAGAGAGAGAGAGAGAGATATATATATATATACAAATATGAATAGAGTGTAATGGAATAGAACGGACTAGAACAGGACAGAATAGCTTGGAACAGAACAGTGGAGACTAGAATAAACTAGAATGGAACAGAATTAGAACAGAATCAAATAGAACAGAATGGAAGACGCTCCATGTTGTATTGTTGTCTTCCTACCATATTCGACTGTATGTGTATGTGTGTATATATATATACACATATGTATGTATATCAATGTGATATTATTTAATATTATGCATTATCTTATGTCCTGTTCTGTTTTGCTATACATCAGCAACCCCTCCTACCCGCCCCCCGGGAGCAGCACTCGGAGCTCTTCGTTGCCTCTTTGGGCTCCAGTGGGATGGCCGCTTTTGGGCGCGTCCCGCACACGAACTCCACGTAGCCGTCAGGGTCCTAGGGTTTGGGCTTCGGTGCTTCCAGGGTTTAGGGTTTAGGGTTTAGGGCGCTTTCAGGGCTTGTAGGGTGTAGGAGGTTCGGGGGGTTTAGTGCTTTTTTCCGGTTTTGCTCTTCTGCCGAAGATCCGTGAGCCTTAGCCCAGCTACAACCCAAAGGAGGATGCATTGAGAGCCGGCATCTTCCCACTAAAGGGCCGCAAAAGGAAGAAGAATCAGAAGAAGTCCTCGACGTTCCCTTTCAGGACGACCAAAGACCTGGGGAGCCCAAGTCTCGAAGCTCTGCTCCACACAAAGGCGGGATTGCCCACTCGTGATGTAATATAGGGGCCTTAATAATTAGAATAGGGTATTGGGGCCATTATACTATAATTAATAATAATAATAAGGAACCCCCCCAAAAATAGTCTTGGTAATTGTGGGATCACAGCCGGGACCCTCAATGAGGCTCCGGCTCCCGGGGAGGGCATGAATTCGTCTCCATCTCTTTCTGCCACACCTGCTCTAGGGCTTGCTTGGGGGATTTCAACTGTGAGGCCTGCTTTCTGTTCGGAGTGGGAGGGTTGAAAACTTGTCTTGCTTGCGATGGAACCCTCATGACCTGATGTCGTGAACCGCAAACAAAATCCCAAGCCCATAACCTTGAACCCTCAACCCTTAAAACGACAAACATAACCTCACTTGCTTTAGGGAACCTGGCCTCGAGCTCTTTCCGCGCCTTCTTCGCGGCCCTAGGGACGCAGAGCTTTGGGCTTTTTCTTTTCAGCTTTGGGGCTTTTGGGCTTGCCGTTTTAGGCTGATTGCTGGGGTCCGAGCTTTAGGAGTGTTCTTTTTTTGAGACCTCTTCCTGCCTGCCCATCCAAGTAGAACGCCTGAAAGGCTGTGCTTTAGGAGTGTATGGTTTAGGTTTTCGGGGTCTGGACCTTCTGGCGTGACAACGACGACTACGTCGCGCGTCGGCGATGGTTACGACTGTGACGGCGGCGATGCGACAACGAACCCCATCGTTGCGGCCGTGGCGACGGTGGAGGCAAGGGCGACGTGACAAGGTCGGCGACGCTAAACGACTCTAAAATGACAGCCCAGGCGCTTGCCCGTATTGGCCTCCACTTGCGCCGGCACACTGCCGTACCCGCCTGTACAGCTGCGCAGTACCAATCAATCCTTTACTAGCACCGGTGCGAATGCCACTGGTACTGCACCACCACCACCACCTCCACCGCCTACTACTACTGCTGCTACTGCTACTACTGCTATTGCTACTGCTACTGCTACTGCAACTACTACTGCAACTACTACTACTACTACTACTTCTCCTGCTGCTGCTGCTGCTACTACTACTACTACTACTACTACTACTACATACCAGCACTGATATGACCAACAAACAAGAGACAGTGACCAATTTCAATAGAGGCCACCGCGCCTGCTA